CAAAATAATCACGTGCTTTGCGTGCATTAGTTCATTTGGGTTTGAGCCTCATTGCAGAATCTCTAGACATTTCAACCGGTATACATCAGTCTCTCATTTGTGCTCCACCTATCGAAACCTACACACTTGGCACTCTTCTAGATAACTACAGTAATGGGGTCCCTTACATCGTCCTTGTGTACAGGTTCTGAAATAGGAAAAATAATAAAATTATTTTTGTACACATTACAAAACCAACAAAACTGGCAGTTACACAAATTTAAATACTGTTCAGACTTTGAAAATTGTGAAATTACAAAATTACAGGCAACAGATATCAGTTTTGACGCTTATGTCCCTCACCGTAGGTCCTTTTTGTTTGGTTAGAATAGCTACAATAAGCTAAATAGCCACCTTTGCCTCCTATTGAAATTGGTTGCTTATCACCACGCCTTTTAAGTAATAGAGATATAATCACCTAATCTTTTAACATAAAAGCTATATCTCTGTAATTCTTAAAAGCAAAATATAAAATTAAAGAAATATAATTAGAAATTTACTTCACAAACATTTTGTACATCTTCATGTGTATCTTGCAGTCAATATTGCGCCTTTATGGAACCTCTAGTCCTATAAAAACTAAGACCTAAGTTTTAAGATCTAGGTTCTAAGATCTAACATCTAAGTTCGAACTGTTGCCTTCTAACTTCTAACTCAAAACGGCCTCAATGGGCTTCCGTAGATATCATTTTAATTCTAAAATGCTGCAGTTTGTCACTATCTTGAATTTCCTTTCATTCAATAATGCCAGTGTTTTTGTATTTGACAACATCTCCTTATTGCGGGTGATTTACCAAATAGTACATAACAAGTTATGTAAATATGCATTGAACTTAAACTGGTCAACTAATAAGTATGTCTACGGGAAGATGATGTGTTTTTTCACTGTACGGCAATAGAGTTCTTATAGCAGCCAAATACTGGGTAATATGAATGGAACCAGATTACCGTCATTATGCTATAAAGTCAAATATCGGTGGGCAGAAAATAGATCTTTTTCCGGTCGAATGCCGGTCTGTTTTCAGTTTGACTTTCTGTAAAATTTATATGGAAGAACTGAATATATGTAAAATTTCAATCTGAAATCTCGGAAACTGATTGGTCATTGTAAAATCAATAAAAATAACATCAAGGATTTTTCTGCTATGGTATACGCCTCTAATTTTAAGTCTGGAAACGAATTATCTACATTCATACGTCTTTTACAATCAAGTTAAATTTCAGATACTTAAGTTCTGATTTAACCATCACTTCTCCTAAACTCCTACAAATAATTTAACGCTGCTTTAACGGGTTATTAATTTTGTCGAATATTAACGAAACCACCACTTAGAAGTACGTCCACGATCCCGTTTACTCATGCGCATGAAAATAGCGAAAAGCACATAAGAAAGCGAACTTATCCGGTATTATCAGATATTTATGTGAAATAAATACAAAATTTATAATTTTCATGATATTTGCATATTTAAATGCGTCGACTGCACCCGTCGATCGCTCCGTGGATGCAGAATCCATATGGCTTAAACTTGGCGTAACCTTTAATATGCCATACAAATTAAGAACCTTTCGAGACATATCTTCGCCAAAATAATCAAGTGCTTTGCGTGCATTAGTTCATTTGGGTTTGAGCCTCATTGCAGAATCTCTAGACATTTCAACTGGTATACATCAGTCTCTCATTTGTGCTCCACCTATCGAAACCTACACACTTGGCACTCTTCTAGATAACTACAGTAATGGGGTCCCTTACATCGTCCTTGTGTACAGGTTCTGAAATAGGAAAAATAATAAAATTATTTTTGTACACATTACAAAACCAACAAAACTGGCAGTTACACAAATTTAAATACTGTTCAGACTTTGAAAATTGTGAAATTACAAAAATACAGGCAACAGATATCAGTTTTGACGCTTATGTCCCTCACCGTAGGTCCTTTTTGTTTGGTTAGAATAGCTACAATGAGCTAAATAGCCACCTTTGCCTCCTATTGAAATTGGTTGCTTATCACCACGCCTTTTAAGTTATAGAGATATAATCACCTAATCTTTTAACATAAAAGCTATATCTCTGTAATTCTTAAAAGCAAAATATAAAATTAAAGAAATATAATTAGAAATTTACTTCACAAACATTTTGTACATCTTCATGTGTACCTTGCAGTCAATACTGCGCCTTTATGGAACCTCTAGTCCTATAAAAACTAAGACCTAAGTTTTAAGATCTAGGTTCTAAGATCTAATATCTAAGTTCGAACTGTTGCCTTCTAACTTCTAACTCAAAACGGCCTCAATGGGCTTCCGTAGATATCATTTTAATTCTAAAATGCTGAAGTTTGTCACTATCTTAAATTTCCTTTCATTCAATAATGCCAGTGTTTTTGTATTTGACAACATCTCCTTATTGCGGGTGATTTACCAAATAGTACATAACAAGTTATGTAAATATGCATTGAACTTAAACTGTTCAACTAATAAGTATGTCTACGGGAAGATGAATTGTTTTTCACTGTACGGCAATAGAGTTCTTATAGCAGCCAAATACTGGGTAATATGAATGGAACCAGATTACCGTCATTATGCTATAAAGTCAAATATCAGTGGGCAGAAAATAAGATCTTTTTCCGATCGAAGGCCGGTCTGTTTTCAGATTGACTTCCTGTAAAATTTATAGGGAAGAACTGAATATATGTAAACATTTCAATCTGAAATCTCGGAAACTGATTGGTCATTGTAAAATCAATAAAAATAACATCAAGGATTTTTCTGCTATGGTATACGCCTCTAATTTTAAGTCTGGAAACGAATTATCTACATTCATACGTCTTTTACAATCAAGTTAAATTTCAGATACTTAAGTTCTGATTTAACCATCCCTTCTCCTAAACTCCTACAAATAATTTAACGCTGCTTTAACGAGTTATTCCCTGCGGTCTGGAGACCGCAGGGTATTGGTACGCGTTTTACTTTTGATGCATGGAGGAGCACGTGACCTGTTTTCGGTACATGGAGGAGCATGTGATCTGTAAGCCGTACATGATTGGTTAATTGACCTTTTCGAAAACCTGGCTAAATACCGCTTTGCCGGTACGTTACGGATAATCCTCTAGGGAATAAGAATTACACATAATTAAGAACAAAAAACTATTACGTGATATTTTTAATTTTCTATAATTATAATACCGTTTAAGGTGGAAAAACTAAATCAATGTTTCTTTAGTATGTATCTCAAAATGTTACAAACAATAAATTGTTTATACTGAAAATCTACAAAATTAAAATATTCGTAGTGGCATCTGCCATAATAAATAGAGATGTTTTCTGCGAAAACTTGTGTGTTTGCTTTTTATTTTTTTGCTCAGAATTATTCATAAAATGGTAGGCCTATTTAATCATTTTCTTAAAAAGAAATAATTGTTTTATGTTCGACCTTCTCCGGTCATTAACGGTCACCAGTTTCCAAAGACCTTCTTCTATATTGATCGATTATTGTCAACTATATTCCTGATACAAACGTTTATTTATCCACCCACCCAAACAATGTTGAAGATACTTAAATGAAATATCTTTATATCATCAAAAATATTCCCCGCAAGAAACCATTTTACTTGTTAATTTTGTCGAATATTAACGAAACCAACACTAAGAAGTACGTCCACGATCCCGTTTACTCATGCGCATGAAAATAGCGAAAAGCACATAAGAAAGCGAACTTATCCGGTATTATCAGATATTTATGTGAAATAAATACAAAATTTATAATTTTCATGATATTTGCATATTTATGAAATATCTATATAACCGCTAACGATTGAATGGTTTGTTTATAATAAATGTTTGTAAACGTATTTTAGATTAGAAAGCTTTCTATCGTTTTTTTTTTGCATTTTAAGTTTCTTAGGTTATGGGCTATTTCCAAAGATGTTGGTATTTCACGTGTATCAACAATCGTTATCATTTGTAAACTTTCTATTATAATTTCGTTTTGAATAAACTTCAATTAAATGTACTTAGCTAAAACGACATTCAAAATAATAGAAAAAAAAGAATAGAATGACGTTAAAAATCAACAGAGACGGTACTAAATATATTGTTTTGCTTGTACATGTAGTTCTTATTTACTTCTTCTTAACTTTAAAGGGATTTACTTCAGACTTTACATTTTGTTTCTATTTGAAATACTTTGTATGTGCCAACATATGCATATGCTTTTAATATTTCAAAAGTTTATAGGTAAAATTCAATAATAGGCTCAATATCATGATCCTTGTGATTGTTTTTCAATGTTTCCTAAGATATGATATGTGAAGTTCGGGCATATTAAATTGTTTGGTTATTTGTTGCTTATACTGATATTGTATAAATAATTTAAGTTTTGGCTATTACTTAAATTCAACCAAAATGTCCATTGAAAGATGTCCAGACGTTCTTTTTTCTAAAGCATTCACCTCAAAACACGTTTGTGTTCCAGTAGCATATGAAGTAAAGAGACAGCCCATCTGGCTGTTTACCATCAAGAGAAGTCCGCCAAAAAAGGTATACGGAACGTTCTTTCGTTTACATTTGTACATGCAAAAAATTAGAGTTTCAAAAGTAGTAAATCCAATTATGGTCAATCCTTTTAGATCTTGAAGCAAATTATCAGTACAGTATTAAACATTTGAAGTTTTTACATACCTCTTCCGTTAAGCTGAAGTTTTACTTTAAAATTAAAAAAGCTAGATTTTTTTACCTCGACTTGCTTCCATATTGCTAGCTATATTTGAAATGTTTGAACATGTTATTTATGGGTGTGATGTCCAAAAACCACTGTGCAGTTTCTCGTGGGAGACGAGTTTAACAAGTTTTCAACTTGTTGAAAATTGTGGTATATTCCCCCTTTTGAAGAATATTTAAGTATTTCACTTAATCTTAAACCGACGTGTAAGATCAATAGTTCATACCCGATCGCATCTAAACATTGATAGCAGATAACATTGTATCATAATGCTCCTCGTGCATTCGTTTTAGCCACAAAAGCTAGTAGTATTTTATCCGTACATGAGAATGCCTAACTTGTTTTTGTTTATCGGTGTTGTATTGTTTGTATTGTCAGGTAATTATATCATTTCTTATTAAGTTATGTGATATAACAGTTAATCAGGTAAGTTTTCTTTTCAATTTGTTTCATTTTCAGAAAGAGAAAACTTACAATCTATTAAACTTTACACTGGGTTAGTCAAAATATTTTAACGTGCTGTGTAACAACTCACTTAAATTCAACAACAAAGTGCGTAATAGTTATATTTCTAATTTTAAACATTAGACAAACGACCGTACTTTGGTGTCATAAAAATGAAATCAATAAATATGAATTTTGGTGATATATTAAGTGAATTATATATTTACATTTACAATAACTATCGTTCCATTTGTGCAGTAATAATATAAACTAATTTTATACACTTATTCATGATGGTTCTTTATGCAGCATTTTGATAATTGCCAATATAAGGTGACTTATAGGTCCATTGGACCTAGTGTAAATGCGGCTACTCTTAATTCACATGCATCATATCGTTGATTTTATACACATGTCGCTATGATAAATACATTTCATATTTTATCAAATGTGTGTCATACTTTTAAGATAATGTCTTCTTATTATGATTAAAGTTAAACCATTTCCTCTTTTAGGCAATTATCACATAATTAAGATCACAGGGGGCTAATACAGTGTTTGGATGGTATATACTGCTTGATGGTGACCATAAATTGAGATTTAAGTCATATCATAACCAGTAACCTTATTATATGTATATAAATATAGACAAGGGGCAGTACTCGGTAAATAGAGAATTTTCGATCACCCATACATTCATTCGAGATTTTCCTCTAATTAAATAAAAAAAGATTTCCACAAAGTATATGCGTTGCATAGCTTATTCAATCCACAATTGATAAACACTAACTATATTCTGATTCTCTTAGCCCACATTAACAAATTTATTTTAAACCGTTAACTTCTGTCACAAAATTGCATGCTCGTATTAGATGTCGCAACACCAACTGCTAGGGGGCGTGAGGGATGTTGCATATTTCCATTATCCATCATGTACAGACTTAATCAAACCGAGTCTGCAATTCTCTTGTAATTTTGTTGTGATTAATGCTTCCGAGGGATCACTTTGTTTCCAGATTTTTATACTTCACAACAGCAGGTGTCAAGTGCTGTGTGGCAGCTGTAAAAAGTTGCCCCGTACTTAACTTCAGTGTTGTTATATTTGTCTGGTCTTTCGGGATCATTGATACCAGCACTATGAAGTGTTGAGAATTGAGTATCGCTCAAGCCGATGCCAGGGGGCGTGAGGGATATTGCATGTTTTCATTATCCCTCGTGTACAGACTCAATCAAACCGAGTCTGCAATTCTCTTGTAATTTTGTTGTGATTAATGCTTCCGAGGGATCACTTTGTTTCCAGATTTTTTTTCTACGGGTTAAATATCAATTTTAAAAGGGGGAGGTACAAATAAACGCATGCAAACAATAACACAACATAGTTTCTATTACCTACCTGTGCAAATACTAGTAGTCGTGAAGCGCTCTACATTCGTCTGTTTCGAACGAATTCTTTAAATCAGTCCAGAACTCTGCTTCGGCGAAGACATTTTGAAACTCTGGTCACGTGATAAAGCCGGTGTTTGGTTCTCGTTATAAACAAAGTTCATACCGAAATGGTTGTAAAATGCGATCTGAAAAGAGTAAGCAATGTATACATCAGCTGTTTTTGTAAAAGCAAATTTTTCTTTGTGAAAATGAACTTTTACCAGCAAAGGACGTCTTCTGTTAGGTAGAGCTGGTACTGGAAAGAAAATCTTTTGTGTTAGAAGAAATTGTCAATCGCCTTCGAAATAAGGGGAAAACAGTGCAAATAACACGTGCAACAGGCATAGCATGTTGTGTATACGATGGGAATTCATGTACTATCCATCAGTTGTATCATAGTTTGGAGACCTTTCTGTTGAAAATGTGTCAGGGTTAAATCGTATACATATACATGCACAGTGCGTTAACTGGAGTGCGGGTATTAGTTACCCGCACTCCAGAGCATGCCCATTGATTGGCTCAATTTTGCTGGGGTTTACATATTGTGACGACAGAGAAAGGGAAAGCGACAGAAATGTCATATTCAGATGTTCGTTCATTGGTTCATTTTTGCCGGGGTTTCATATTGTGACAACAGGGAACGTGCTTTTATGTTTGACTATGATACAAAAGAGAAAGAACACCAAAACACTCGGCAATCTGATTAATACTCGGGGGCTACGCCCCCTCGTACAAATCAGATAGCCTCGTGTCTCGGTGCTCTTTCTATTACTTAACCGGAATTTTTCTGACCGGCGCCCTGGGCCAGGGGAAATTGTAGACGTTGTGAAGAATAACAGGAAATTTTAGTATGTGCTTGACAACATACTATTATTCTAGATAAATGTTCATTGATAAATCAAAAGTTATTTGGCACAATCAACAATGTATGCAAGATCCAAGATCCTAAACGTCCTTTTGGTGGAATTCAAATGATTTTTTGTGATGACTTCTTGCAATTGCCTCCTGTAGAAAATTTACCTCACGGGGACAGTGGCCGGTATTGTTTTGAATCAAATGATTTCAGTATCTGTTTTACACACATGGTAATATTAGAAGAAAATATGAGACAGACTGAAAGTAAGCTTTTGCAAACAATCATTGGAGTGTTTGATGGCTATGTTTCTCCAGATATGGAAATTTTATGTCAAAACAGGCCACTAGATAATCTGACATCACATACAGTAAAGTTGTTTGCCAGGAACGAGATGATTATATTAAGCACTGTGTTTTAGAATTTCCTGGCAGTATGTATAAGTCTGAAAACAATGGCAACGCGTCAGACTTATCCAAAATCTCTGTACCAAATATTCTGTGGCTTAAGATAGGATGTCAAGTTATATTAATGCGTAACAATGTCTTTATTGATAGAATAACTTCCCATTATTCTGATTTGAATATGACAGAGTTATGCTCCTTTTTCAACTTAGAATGTTTTGGCTAAGTCAGTCAGTCCTTTTTATTCATAAAGCTTTTATTTTAGTGTCAAGCACTGAGAAATGTCAAGCACACTGTCTTTCTGAAAGCTCTTGTTTTAACCTGCATTCAGCAGAATTCTGTGTTGAAAAGCCAATTCTTATGACTCCCTAAACTGGTTTAAACTGGAAATATAGGTTTTGTGTTTCTGTTACAAAATTACGAAATCCGCTTACCTTTATACCCTTATAACTTTGAAGTTTGAACTACTGCAGCTAGCCGTAGCTGGTGTTACTTTCCTATTTTTTTTCGAAGAGAACTTCAGTCACACTCGAATGTCCTGCATTTGATTTTCTGGACACAACATTTTGACCTGTCAGTATACTGTTGATGGTTCTTCTGTATTGCAGAGCATTGGGGTTACTATTTGCCCAATTGTAAGTTGACCGTTGCTGATTAAAGATATTTTCTGTTACGTCAGAGTTGACTAAAGCACGGGTAATATGTATGTTGCTTGACCGTTTTAGTGCCGTGTGACATAGAAGCACAAAGCATTAGATACAGGCGTGTATGTCTTCATGACAATGTTGAGACATCAAAACTTTTTAGGTTTATTATCCTTTTCATTTCCAAATTTTTCCCATTCTAAAAACCAAACACTTATTTCATTTAGTGTCACAAGTCAGGGATCATTGATAGTTGCTATTGGTTTAAAATCGCGAAATATTGAGATAATTTGGGATGTTTTCTCTAGAAATTTAATTGCACCATCCAAAATTTCCTCTTTTTCACCTTGTGTGTTTTGTTGTGTTGGGCTTTCTTTAGGGATTCTGCTTTACTCTATTTTATTGTCACATCCGTGTTATTTGTGCCGTGTGGCGGCTGTAGAAAGTCTCCCCATACATTTAATCAATGATGTTATATTTTCGATCCTTGAATATCGTTCAGCACAACATTATTGTTGTGTAACCATGTTATTTGGTACTTTTAGTTTCTTCTTTTTGGCCATTTTCAACTTGGGTGGTTTAGGGCAAAAGCATTCTTTTACTTGGGGACCATACGCCGCTTTTCATGGAATGGCACTACTGTGTCACATTGAAGGTTCAATGACAACCGCCGTATGAACACATCTGCGGATGTCTCTAAATTCAAAATTTCACCATTTCGTGTTAAATAATGAATTCTGCTTAAGCCGGTGCTAGGGGGCGTGGACGGTAACTTGTACTTTACGGTAACTTGCACTTTCCAGTACCGTCCATGAACAGGTTCAATCAAACCGAGCCTGCAACATTTCAATTTTGTTGTGTTGGGCTTTCTTTAGGGATTCTGCTTTACTCTATTTTATACCTAGTAAATAAATTAAGCATTTCAGAATTGAGCACTTCCTCTGCAAGGTGGTTCTTCATTTCCTGCTGATTATCTGGGAACATGTTTTCATTTGAAAGTTTTTTCTATGTAATTGCAAGCTATTCTGTATGTCCCATCTATAGCAGTCTACAAGTATTTTCCATTGTATAGTAGAACCATTTATTAAGTTAAATTACGAGTGTTTTTTTTGCGTGGTACCAGTTTGACTTATTCCACTCTTCAAAATATTATTTCGGATTTTTTTCAAAACATGTGATACATCCTTGGTGAGAATTACCGTTTGTGATGTAGTTGGACTATTTCATTTTAAATTATAATTCGACTTAGAATTTTCACCAACACACAAATGCATAAAAGAGCGGTTACTAACTGCACCGTCTTTTCACGTGTGAATTACATGAAAACCATATGTCCAAAGATGTTACACTACTTTCAAAAGGATGCTGTATAACTCAGATGCCTGGATACCATCACTTACAAAAAGAGCAAAAGGAAACAGGAACCCAGTTACTCCCAGAAACAGCGTTTGCATTATATGAGTCTCTTAAGTATTGTCTACATTTCCTTTTCTGAGGATGTTACACTTGTCCCATTCCACACTCAAGTCAGTGAAACCCACTAGCTCAACAACATCACCATTTTCCGAACTGATTGAATTGACATCTCGTCAAATATGAATCCTCCCA